TGTTTAAAAAATTCAATTTTATACAAGGCACTGGGAAATAGGGGTCTACAGGTCATCCAACGACTTTTAGAGGCTCCGAGAGTCCTTATTGTACTCTACTGTTCTAACAAAATGTTAATAAAATAAAATAAAAATCCTGTTTTCCTTTCCCCTCCTCTAACCTTTTCTGAGAGAGTTGATTTTTCTTTTAATTTGGGGAGTATTTTTAGCTGGATGTCTTCTCTGCCTCATCTCCTCCAGGAGTGTGCCCAGGGAGATAACTAGTGGTGCTCTGAGAGAGGTGACCCTGCCAGTGTCCCGAACCCCAGATGAATCACCTGAGGCCTGTAAACAGAGGGACTGCGCGCAGGAAAGAGGATGATAGCCTGCGGCACCAGCCCTGAACTGCCACCTTTGGCTGCTGGCTCTCTGGCCTTGCCCTTAATCCCAGTCAGATGCTACGTTTTTATTAGAAAACTCAGGCTGGGTTTCAAGGTGCTGTCGGGCCTTCCTGACCTCACTTCTCTTCAAACTCCTTTTGAACCCTTCTGGCCTCGCTGCTGTTGGACATGAGGGATGCCCAGGGCACTGCTGCCTGTCTCGTCTCTCCTTCTGTCTCACCTGCACATGCCCAGCGGTCACTGGGGACAGAGTTGAGGTTACTGATTCTGAGAAGCCCGTGCACAGCCAGTTCCACAGAACAAGACAGCCTTCCTGCGGTCCGGTTTTGTACCAGTTGTGGGAAAGGTGCCTGCAGCATTGTGCTCTCAGGCAGTCAACTGGCTCACAAAGTCAATTAGTTTGGTTTTGTTTGCATTTTAAGGAAACCTGTAGAAAAGGAAAACAAATTTGTTTGTCTTTTAGGGGATGAAAATGGGCAGGTGTGGCCACCCCGAGGTCCTTCTGTTCAGTTGCGGAAGAGTGAAATGGGGCTTAATTAATCAATAGGGTTTAGCTCACTTGTTTTCTTTAAAAAGGACCTGCCCTCGAGAGAAAGTGTTGGAAAAGAGATCTTTGCTTTGCTTGTACAGTGGGGTGGCAGGCGGCTGGCTCCTTGCTAAAGAACTGTTTGGTGGTTTTGGGAAGTAGATTGCAAAACGTTGCTTTGATTTGGGGTATGCAAGGTGTTCCGTTTCCTTTGAATTGTGTGCTGTGTTTTGCAGCTGAGACAACTATGGGCCTACCACAGTGACTAACTCCTGCTCACATCCAGTGCGCTCGTGCATGCCTTGTTCCCACTGCTCTTGGCTAAAGCTAGTGAGTGAATGGCACGGCTGACCAGGCCTTCCTTAGTTTCTATTAATGTATTTTCACTGTCAGTGCTGCCGACTGCGGGGAAGGGGGTGTTAGGGGGCTGGAGGAGGAAACTGGCCAAGTGGCGGTGGTGAGGTAATGGAAGGAGTATGTGAGTACAGAGTGCTAGTGGTGCCATGGAATGCAGATGGACACATTCACTCAGAAAAGCTCAGGCTTTATTAAAATGGGTTAATTTCTTCCAAAGGCAGCAGCTTGAGGAGGACTTGCAGTGGAGGGAGAGGATGGGAGGAAGCTTGCAGCCATAGGGTGGTGAGCCCTTTGCTCTGTCCCTCTGCTCTTTGCAGCCCTTGCTCAGTCCCTCTGTGGTTAGATTATTCCTTGCAGATAGCAATCAACTGGAAGGAAGTGTGTGTGTCTAATTTGCATGAGATTATTTAAAACAAAACAAAAAAAAAAAGGTCTGCATTAGTCAGGGTGATGGTAAACAACGCAAAGAGATGCCTTTTATAATATAGCCTGAGCTCAGCTTTCAGAGCCAAATATAATTCACTTACAATTGGCAGTTTCCTTTATTATTCCTTTTAACCTTTTGAATTCTGCAAGGTCTTCATTGGAAGCTCTCTAGATCTCCACTCTTTATCTGGATAGGGGTGTGTGGGGGAATGGGACTAGGGAACCTGGATTTCTTATAGATGGTCCTATGGCAATATCTCATCCCTAAAGCCAGGTCATTTCAGCATTAGGAGCCGATGACATCCCCCAAGATGGTCAGCCCTACCTAAGCTGGGAACACTCCAGGGGAAGAGGAGATTCAGGGGAGCATGGGCACCAGCCTCTGAGAGGCATATGAGACTGATTGGAGTTAGAATATGAGGAGACCAGGGCTGTCTTACTTATCACTTAGGTGGTGGTCTAAGAGTTGTCCAGGTGTCATTCACAAGAGGGCCCACAGGTTATGTTCCCATGTTGTTTTGGTGTAGCCCCCAAAACAATATTCATTGGCTCTTATCTCTAGATTGGGGTGCCTATGCTGGAAGTAGGAGAAAAAAATTTAGTCTTTATCAAACCCTTTCACAAGACTGAAGATTTAAGATGTAGTTCCTGATTCTGTTGTCTGATGCCTGGTACCTCTGTGGGAGGTGCTGAGCCTGGGTTGTCATTGGCACGACCAGTCTTTCTTGTATGATTTGGCACATAGATTTTTACCCTCTTTGGGCTTCAGTTTTTTATCTCTTAAATGAGAGTATGGCAGGAGTGATGGTGCAGCTCAGAAATTTCTATTATTCAGTGAGATCGCTAAAATGCTTATTATTTTTTTTAAGAAGGAGAAAAATAATAATTCATTTCATGTAACTAAATCACAATCCTGATTCTGCTGGAGAACAAGGGATATCAGAATCCCAGCCAGTGTAAATTTAGAGCATCAAATGATAAGGTCTCTGAAAAATAAGAGCTTAGAAGGAAGTACCAATGCCCTTTAAGCCAGGGCTCAGTCGTGCGCTCAGCTAAAACATGCACGGAACATGTTTTATTAGGAAAATAGGCTCTGTAAAAGCTCAAGGCCAGAGGGCACAGAAGTGGGCAGGGAGGCCTGCCCCTTTAACCGGCTCCAGCTCTCAGGGCTGCAGTACAGTCTGTAACTTACTGTGTATTTCCCCAGCGTTAAACATTATTGTACTTGTTTATATTTGAAAGAGCCAAAAGGGAAAATGAGAATGCAACTGAATGCTCCTTTTGGGAAAATTATCCTCATTTGCAGCTAGTGGCTGACAAGGCACACGGACCACCAGGTTTATAAAATTCTATAGTGTACCAGTGACCATCAGCCTGTGCTGACGTTGCAGATGCACTGTCTTCTCTAATGGCCGATTATGAACTGGTTACAACACTGTCTTTCTAACGAGGACTCAGAAAAGGGTTCCCCTTCCTATTTAGTAGGAGTGATTGACGGTCACTACAAAGGCTGGAGTCTGGGAGGCACAAACTCAGGAGAAGTGTGGTCTCTGTTTTTGCCTGTTAGTCCTGTCCCTGTTCTTGGGAGGTAAAATGACAGGTAAAGCAAGCAGTCCCTTTGCAGCCAGGGAGTTAAGAGAGGGAAGAAGTCTCCTGTCTAGCCCTAGTATGCTCTTACTTAGTTTTTGTGTCTGGAAGGCGTTAAGTGCCAATAAATGATACTCTGAGTCCTGGAAGCTTTCTCCTTGGCGGGTCAGTCTGTTTGAGCATGGTGCTATCCGGGCAGTCCAGCAGCACTTCAGACAGTGGAGAGGTGCGGCCCGCCTACACTGGGCAGCTCCACTGTGAGACGAGGGGAGGGGGAAGAAGAGCTGCAGTTTCAAATGGGAACAGACCTCAACTGCTCTGTGCAAGAAGGAAAGAAAGAGTCCAAGGCTATTCAGCATAGTCATTCTCCCCTGATCGGTTGCGGTGGGGCCTGAAAAGTCTGAGGGATGGCTGTAGTCACCTCCTGTGCCAGTATGGCGCAGGGCCGAGCTGTGCTCTCCAGCATTAATGTGCACCATCTATTAGCCCCTTGGCACAGAGTGTGAGGCACCATGCTTTTGAAGATGCTGATCCTCAGAACCTCCTTGTACTTCATCCACCTCCAGGGGCAAATATACCATGCTGTGGGCCTCTAATGGAGCGCTGCCGACCAGATGTGGAAGAGCTCTCGCCTCGAGTTTAAAAGCTCCGCTCCCTGTTGCGGCTGGACTGGAGAGTGGGATTCCTGGAATAACACGGGCTGGCTGGAGTGGTCTTTTGCAGGCTAGTGTGACCTCCCACCTGCTTTTCCCACTCCAGTGGCCAGGGCTCTTTTGTACCCTCTCAGTTCCTTTCCGGGTTGGCCTTGGAGGAAGTTCTTCTCACACCTGTGAGCCACGCTGTGCTGCTGTTCTTTGGGTCGGTTAGGGCATCCCCCTGCCTGCCTCAGACCCACTGAAGCTATTCCAGCTGTGTGTCTGCTGGAAATGGGGTCTTCATGGGTTTCTCACTTGCCTTTCATTCTTTCATGGGTAAATCCTCTCCAAATGTTCTAGCCACTGCAGATGGCGCCCTGTGATTTCCTGATGTCCCACGTGCGGTGTTGGGAGGATGAAAAAAAAGGGAAAAAGAAAAACTAGCCAAAGGCGATATAGGCAGCCTGTGATAGGCTAGAGCAATAATCATCTGAAAGTTTGGGCCTGGCCTTGTTTTGTTCTGTTTTCTTGTTTTATTTTCTTCTTTACGTTCTGTATCCCATTCATACTAATCACAGTCAGTCCTGATTTTTCTTTTTATTTCTGCATTTGTCATAAAATAAAGCAAATTATTCCCGTCTTCGGAAACAATCTAGACTAATTAGTCGTCTCACCCAATAATTAGTTTTTTGTTTCCCTGTCTGTTTTCATGCATTATTGTTAGTTTTTTCCCCTCTTTTTTTTAACACCATTACAGATTAAAATGAGCCACATTTGCAGTTGATGGTATCTGTTTTCAGGGGAAGAATGGAGAATTGCAGTACAGAGCGACTTCAAAAGCAGCAATAAACTCAAGGATAAATTAAGGAAATTGAATGAGCCACATTTGGAAGCAGTGTTGAGGCTAATATTCTGTCGCTTAAGGTTAAATTGCAACTGAGAGGTTCCGGAGAATCCGAAATGGAGGCGGCAACTTCCCAGGGTGCTAGGCGTTCTGTGGCTGAGAGGGTCTTTTCTCAATGAAGACTGCATTGCGGCCATAGACAATGGAGAAGGGTACTCATCTGCAATTATGTCCTCTTCCCCCAGGGCTGACAGATGAAGAGATTGATTTGGCTTTCCAGCAGTCGGGCACTGCTGCCGACGAGCCTTCGTCCTTGGGCCCAGCCACACAGGTGGTTCCTGTCCAGCCCCCTCACCTCCTTCCTCAGCCATACAGTAAGTCACCCGCTCCCACTCCCACTTTAACCTTGATTGGGATTCAGGACTCTGGCCAGAGAGCAATTCTTCATGTCTCCCAAACTCACCAAGCTGGGAGAAACAGGGAACCCTGGAAAGCGCTTTGAGTTTTTCCCAAAGAATGTGACATACTCAAATACTCTTCTACTCAAACTTTTAAGTATGTGACAAAGTTTTAAGAAGAAATAAGGGACCAGAATAAATGAGTTTCATTATGTTATTTTGAATATTTTGGTTACAGGGAATAGTGAAAGTATCTGTTGGTCCTGTTTTTATTTCTTACACCAGTACTTTTGAATATTATGGTCTCCCTAGTGACAGCAAGGGTACCTGATGCATGAGTGCGTTCTCCTTTGCTCACTGAAATGACTTGTCTCCTAATTTTACTTTTGAAGTTAATATTAGTAGGCTTAGGTTGGTTGACCTTCTTCCCCCTCCCTCCTTCCTCCCCTTCTTTTTTCCTTTCTCCCCTCCCTTCCATTCCTTTCCTCTCTTCCTTCGAGTTCTGACTGTAAAAAACACATTGCTGTTGAGTCGATTCTGACTCATAGTGACCCTGTAGGACCAAGTAGGACCGTCCCATCGGGTTTCCAAGGCTGTAAATCTTTACGAGAGCAGACTACATCTTCTTCCTGCAGAGCAGATGATGAGTTAGAACCACAGGCCGAGCACATACAGTAGGAGTCTGTTAGAGAATTTCAGATTAAAATTTAAAGGTCCTTTTTAAATGTTGCTTTTGGTTATTATGCGAGACCATGACCTATGAGGGGTTTTGTTTTGTTGTTAAATGAAAACTACTCTAGGAATAAAGTTTATTCATGGTAGTAATAAATGTACACCTTCATAATACAGCCAGACCCCTTCTTTAAATCACTTATAAAAAGTCTAAAAGGAAGAAAACGTGGACTCCGAAGATATGGAAAATAGCTCAGTTTTATTTCTTTAACGTAATTCAGCACTGGATCTGTTATCTTTCAGAATATCTTTTCTATACAGTAATTGTCTTTATTTTCATTACCTATCTCAGAAATTTTATTTTTTCAAAAAATGATTCAAAATAGTATTAGATATTTAAAAGATTATTTTAAAATGACAGGTTCCTTTTGTTCCCCCAACACCTGGTTGGGAGCAACCTTCTTGCTCTGACTTCTCCAGTGTCAGCCACAGCTGACATTACAGATGAGCAAGCAAAGCCTTCTCTCCTCCATACCTGCCCAGCGGCCAGGTCCAGTGTCAGAATGGCCTTTGTGTATCGCAGATCTCATTTAGATACCTCCTTTCTTTCACTTTTCAGGATAAGGTTGGATGGCTGAGGCTGGTAACAGCACACTCTAGTTTATCTCATTCACCATTGCCTTGCTAACAAACCCATTAACATTATTATGACCTCTTAGAAAAGATGGTGTGGTGGCGCAGTGCCTAAGGGATTTGACTTCTAGCCCGAAGGCTGGCAGTTCAAACCCACCAGTCACTCCGAGGAAGGAAGACTGGGCAATCTATCTACTTCCTTAAAGATTTACCAACTCGGAAACCCAACAGGGTTGCTGTGAGTTGGAATCGACTCAGTGGCAGTGAGTTTGGTTTTTGGTTTGAGGCCTGAGAAACAGTGTTTCAATGTTGAGCTTCCTGCTTGGGCTACTGAGTCATCAGTAGCAGCTACTTGTTGGCTTGGGACTCATTTGTCCTCGCTGGCTAGCAAGTGTTCTTTCCGACCCACGGTGTTTGCTTTGGGTCACTAAACATACTTACGTGTTTCTCTTTAACCAAAGACAGAGTCTCCATACTTTTACTTCAGTTGTGTCCCTGGGCCCAGCCATTTAATGGGATTTGCTGAGGACCGGCAGTGGCAGCTGGGGTGCAGAATTTTCTAAGATGCACATCTGTTCTGTTCCAAACAGGTCTCTCGGCTACTTGGAAACTTCCTGCTCAGAACAAATTATTCTCGTTGGTCAGAGTTGGGGTCAAACATCATGGGTTTGCCTCCTTTCAGTAGGCATGAGGAGTTAAACTCTTAGTCTTTCTGAAAGAGGCAAAAGAATGAGGGGCAGTAGGTGTGTGGCTCAGTCATTTAAACCACGTTAGGTCCAGATCTTACTGAGAAAAAGTGTTTCATATTTAGGTATTTAGGTAGGAGTATTTTTAAGAGTCTTCCAGCCCTAAAAATAAAATACATCTTCTTAGAGACAGACTCCTTTCTGCTTTGACACTAGTATAAAAACAATGGTAATGGTAATTTTAAATACCTGAAGGTTTTCCTTGTCACCCTGTGCCTTCATTCTTCTCCTACCGTTACATCACTCCTTTCAGCTCCAGGGACGACTCTACCTCTTCACTTCTGTACTTTTGCCAAGAGGTGTCAAAACTGCTCCAAAAAAAAAAAGAAAGAAAGAAAGAAAGCTTGATTTTGATTAATATAGAGAAACAAGACTTTGCCTGACTGATAATAAAACTGATAAATGACATTTGAATTACTTGTAGCGGTAATTTATTACATAAAATATCTTTTATTTGACATGCGATTAGTTGCTGGAAGCATCACTCAATCTGACTAGTTTAAACATGCTCTAAAATGAACCCCAGTAAAAACCAGGGCTGTCTGCTGCTGGCGTTATGAAATATACTAATCCTGGAGTGAGGAAAAAAATCTGACTTTAAATATTTAAATGATTAATTGGGTTTATATATTTTTTTTTTTTTTACCTTTCTAACCCCCTTAATTACAAGCAAACTCAGGGGAGTTTCTGAACTAGGTGTGCAATCTGCATGCTTATCACTGAGGCCTTGTCTGCGTCCCAGGAGGGATTTATAGCCTCTGCCCATGTGTGTTCCTGGCGATTTTGTATCAAGATCCCAGAAGCCCTTTCCTTTCCATTTCTTGGCATGTTAAGGGTATCCCAAGCCCAGAAAATGGGATTCCCTGGGCTCAGGCCAATGCTCCCCTCTCAGGGAAGGGCACTGTCTTAGTTTCCTGGTGCTGTTCAGTGCAGACACCACAGGTGAGTAGCTTTAAAGAACAGAAAGTTATTTTCTTATAGCTCTGGAGGCTAAAAATCCAAATTTGGGTCTCAGCCATGTTGATTTTGTCTTTGTCAGTAACCGTAGGTGTTCCTAGGTTCTAGGTGATTCTCACATGGCATACATCTTCCCCAGGATGTGCCCACATGTCCATGTGTGCTGATGTTTATATAACTCAGAAGTCATTAGGTTTCAGATCCCCCCTGTACTGGGTACAGAAGAAAAGGCCTGGTGATCTACTTCCCATTAAAATTACAGCAAAGAAAACCCTATGGAGCAGTTCTTCTGTGTAATACTGGGGTCACCATGAGTCAGAATTGATTTGATGGCTACTAACAGTAATAACATGCACTGGTATGACCTCAGCTGATTACATTACATTAGATTGCATTATGGAAGGTAGTTACATTGCATTAGATTAGATCACATTCATAGGTATAGGAGTTAGGATTCCAATACATATTTTCCGTCCATAACAGGCACCTTGCCTGAGAGCACTACAGGAGCCCAGTACTCATGGATCTTTGTATTCAAGCTTGCTGTCCCACCTGCTTGGGGGAATGTCCTGCTCTGTGCCTCTTTCAATATCTCTGCTCTTTGGTGAATGTGGTTGTCCTTGAGATGTTAGTAAAAGCAAATGGTGGATGAGAGAAGATAGAGAACTACCAGAATGGTACCATTTCCACTCATCAGTGTTTATTAAGCACCCGCTGTGTGCTCAGTACAGTATCATGTGAGAGATTAAAAGCATGATCCTGGTCCTTAAGAATTTTATAGGTTCTTTGGAAAAGGTAAGATAAACTCTTAAGAAAAAGACAATGTAAGACATCATGATTTCATGCCAAAATTAATTATATAGACATGAAATTCCACAAGAATACAGAAAAGAGAAAAATTAATGTGGGCTTGAGAAGTCAGGGAAAGCTTTGTGAAAGTGGTAGGAGGTTGACATGACACCAGGGGGGAACTTGGTGTCACCTGGTGTGGGAATAAACCAGTGTTCTCTGGGCTTCCAAGAAAGTTGTGGAGACCTCAGGAAAAGTCAGCTTGGGATCTGAGAAGAGCTTTGATGTTCTCAGTTTCTCTTTTTGATTTCCTTTTGTTCCATCCAGAGTCGGGATCAGTATGTGTGCAATGCATGTGCAGTCCTAAGCCTGGGTCCTGATAGGTGCTTGATTGGTTGGTTTGCTCCAGACTGACTTCTCTTCTTTCTCCCCAGAGAGATAAGGTGCAAGGTAGCTTTGAGATACAGGCAGGGCCAGAATAAATTTTGTAGGATAATTTTTTCTTAGGCTAGACTATTTCCCCCCCTGTCTTTGGTAAACAGTTTAGGCCCTTTCAAAAACTGACCTATTGCTTATGCTTGAGTTGTCTATTCTTAAAATAGGATGTAAATATTTGAGGGTAGTGAAAGGCTTTGAACTTTTTGATTAGAAATCCTTGGAAAGAAAGAGAAAAAAGAAAGCTTTCTTTCTCATTTAGCTTCTTTAATTGCCCTGATTAGTTACATACATTTTCCCTGGTTGTCTTCATTCACTGAGCAAACGTTTATTGAATGCTTACTGTGAGCCAGGCACTGTGCTAGATTCTGGGGATGAAAAGATGAATAAGGCCCAGTTGCTCTCTCAAATTGGTCCAGACTGGTAGGAAAAGCAGTTGAGCAAACAGAGCAGTGCACCTGAGGGGTATACGGGTAAGGATGACGGCATCAGAGAGGCAAAAGGCAATTTCAGAGGGCAGGAGATGTTTAATGAATCTGGAAGGGTGACTGGCTCAGTGAGCAGACAGACAAGTAAGAGCACTCCAGGCTAGAACAAAGGCACATAGAAATGAAACTGTGTGATGAGTTTAAGAAGCTTTAGGGCATTCAGAGTGGCTGACACATGGCAGTCTTCCCCCAGCCAGAAGATGATCAACAGCATGTTGAGTTTTTACTTTGAAATACACCACATAATTAATTCCGA